AGGAAAAAAAAAAAAAAAGGAAGAAGAAAGAAGAAAAAAGGAAGAGAAAAGATCTCAAAAGAGGGGTACAGTGGAGAGTAGTATTGTGGTCATTGTAGTAGTAAGGTTAAAGTGGAGCTTTGGTGATTGTACGTGGTTCTGCCTTGATTTCTCTGTACAAGGAAGCATGCCACAGAGATCAAGGAGGCTTTTAGCTCAAAAGAGCAGCTTTTGAGTAGGGAGCAGGCAGAGGCTGGGGTTTTTGTGGGGAGCAGAAACTAGAGCGGGACACTTTTTGAAACTATGAGATAAGACAGAATGGACAGGATAAAGCAGAGCCAAGTTTCTACAATTTCTTACTCCAGGCATGCTGTGTTACTCCCTTTTTCTCCAGGGGGATGCACTTGATTAGATCACTCTTCTCTATTAAAGTAACATGATGTAGCAAATTAAATAATGCCAGTACTATCCGTCATATGTTAATACAAGCCCAGAGTTCCTGAAGTAGATCACAAAGGGTGTACATGAGTGAAACAAATCCAGGCAGAAAGTACTGTGATAGAAGTTTCAGCTAGTTAATATTTTGCGTGATACCCTTCTGGGCTCCTTTTCCACAAAACCTCCCAAGAAACCTAGTTTTGTTCCCATTTTGTAGCATATGTGGTTTCAGGATATATTTTCTTCCATCCTATGCCACCATCTGACTTGACTTGAGCCAAAATTATTGAGGGAGCTGCCTGCAAAGCAGGCACACACACGAACACATTGCAGCCATTGAGTAGGGACACTTGTTTTAAACACGTGATAATAATTCCCTGGGGAGTGTTAAAGCACTAGTTGCTTTTGGTGTTTTAGGCTTATTTTATTTAAGATTGCAGAGTATCAAGCAGAACTTGGACATGCTAGCTGCTTTATGCTCTTCTGGAGAGCTCTAGCCTCACAGAGCTCCAGTAAACTAAATTGCAGTCTGCTTTCACTGGTGGGCCATGAAATCCTTGTGATGAACTTGATCCAAAGGGAGGTGCAGATGATGGTGAGAACTGGACAACAAGTCTTGAGGCTCTGTGGGTTGGAAGAAAATAAGTCTGTTTCAGAAAGGCATGAGGCACAAGATTTCCTGTAGCCCCAAAGTATAAGTGCTTTTCACTTTCAAACTGTATCTGTCCTGCTTACTGAGTCTCTTTGCTCAGGGCTAAAGGTGTTTCAACACAGTGGTCCCCAAAAGGGACAATAACAGCTGACAGAATGGTTACTCCAGCCATTGTCCTAATTTGATTTTTTTTTTCATTATGTGTTGCTTCCACTGGCATCTCCAAGCACTGCAATATTTTTATATCTATACAGTTTATGCCCAGTTTTTTTGTTGTTTTTTTTTTCCTACAGTATTTTCTATCTTTTGAAGAAACAAAAGGTATCATCTTCTCTCTTAATGTTTCTACAGATATTTTTTTAACATTTTGATGACAAGTCTGCTTTTACTTACTTAAAAAGACAGTACCAATGTTAGTTTGGTTTGATTTTGAGGGAGTTACATTATAGACAACCTCCACCCGAAGTCCAGCCAGGGTGACCCAGTCCTGCCAAGACAGGCCTTCCTGTGCTGGTGGGCAAATACCTGTGGAGACAATGTGGACTTTGCTGATATGTCCACTGCCCCCTGTGAGAGGTGCAGCATGGCAGTTCTGGACATTGACAACTCGTCCCATGGCAGCACAAAAGATCTCACCTGAGCCTCTCTACAGGTCTCTAATGAGGCTCACAGGAGCATCCTTGGGGTTGCTTTCCTGCAGTGCAGCCCCTGCCCTTTTTGCTTTCTTGGCACTTACTGCCAAGTCTGGTCAGTACAGGACAATATGGGCAGGAACTGCTTCATCTTCAGACTGCAGCATACCTTACCCCAGGCTCATGTGAACTTTACCTTCCTCTGCCAGCACTGTGCAGTCCCCAGGGGAGAGTACGCTGTTCTTGGGGGGCTGAAGAAAGACTGTAGGGGTATCTCACTGAGCACAGTTGCTCTACAGACAGGCAATGATAGTGTCCTGCAGAAAGCCTTTGGACTGAGCTGCTCCAGGGCCTTCAAGACTGGCTGCTGTGCAAGGGAAACAACCTTTCATGCAACAGAAGTGTTGTCTTGACCCCAGCTGTGTGCAGGATGGCAAGAATCGGTATCCCTGCCTGTGCCAGAGGGCTTCTCTAGGATCCACAGCTGTGATGGGAGCAGTTGCCTCACCTTTATGTCCCTCTCCTTTGGGTTTACAAAAGCAGAAGGCCTGTAGTGAGACCAGACCACAGCCAGGACCATTCACCTTTGCAGGAGGCTTTCAGTGACCTCTACAGACCTATTGCAGAGGCCTCTGCTGGGGTTACTTGGGTCACAGGCGGCTTGTTAAGGCAGCCAGACCACTCCTTTGTCAGGGAGAGGACATGGGTCCACCCCCCAGCATACCAGGCACATGCCTTAACATCAAGGTCACTCTGCTAAGATTTCAGCTTCACACTTTCCATAGGCTT